GGCGCTGATTTCCTTCACGTGTGTTAACTGGGCTTTTTGTTTGTTTTTATTTCTAGCTCAGTCTGGCCTTAAACTAGCAGCTATCTTTCTGCTGCCTCCAATTGCCGGGACAACAAGGCATGCACCACCACACCTGGCTTTGTGGAGTCTCGGAGAAAGTTACATCCCCCCAAATACTTGCTACTCAGGAAGTAGAACACAAATGTTAGCCTGGAAGAACCTACACCCCAAAGTACAATGGCACAAGTGTGCAGGGAGTTTGGTAAATCACATGGCCACATTACTTCACATTTCCCACAGAACACTGGAAGCCTGAGTTTTGCACGTGAGAGATAAGCATTTTTAAGCACTTACCTTCCATCAGTCCCCATTGGCAATCAGATAAGGAAGGGAGAGGCCTCTTGGCTTCAGTTATAGCAAGCCGCACACCAGTGACTGACATGGCACTTCATGATGCTAGAGCCTAAACACATTTCCCTCTCCCCAATTTATTCCTCTCACCCCATCTCGAGACTAGAGGTCCTCCTGCCCTTTTTGCCCTAGGACCCTCGATAGTTTAATATAGTAGCTTCTGGGCAAGGGAAGAATTTCCCCTTGACTGCATGAGGGTGAGTGCTTGAGAGATCAGGTGTGTGGGTAGGTGGAGACAGCCCTGGGGAAGATGGTCTCTCCGTTGTAGATGGTAAAGTAGGATCCCGGTCAGACTTAATGGGACAGGGAAGATAGTCTCTCCACTGTAGACAGTAAAGTAGGATCCCGGTCAGACTTGACTTGAGGCACCTAGTGACTCATGCAAATCACCAAGAAAGATTTTCAAATGCAAAATAAAGGTAGGAAATAAAATAAACCCACGAATAACCAAGTCAAAGTGCTGCTGCACACAATGTAGAGAAACCAAGAAGGGGGAGAGTTAACGTATTAAATGTGTGACTGAGAAGTTAATTATATTAAAAGTATTATTACTTTAAAAAGAACTCATTTATAGACATATGAAGGTTTTTAATTCATTATTACGGGAATAAGTAACCTTTTAATTTGTGCGTGTGTTATGTGTGTGCAGGTGTGGAAGTGAAGGGTCAATGTTGACTGTCTTCTATCATCCTCCACGTTACATTTGAGACAAGATGTCTTATTGAAGGTAGTATTTACCAGTTGCCTAGACCAGCCAGACAATCAATCCCCTAGGATCCTCCAGTTTAGGACTTCGAGTACTGGGATTGCAGGGATTGCTGGACCTGGCTTTTTATGGGTGCTGCAACCTGAACTCGGGTCCTCTTGTTTGCAGGGCAAGCATTCCACCCACTGAACCACCTTCGCAGCACCAACTTTCTTTTAAATGAGAGACATATTTGTGTGAAAGCTATATCAAAGAAGATATAGAAATTCAAAGTTCATTACAAAAAGCTGGATATCATTAGTCCTTAGGGAAATGCAAAAGCCATCAACAATGGACACTGATGCCAATCTACCATCTTCAGTGTTGACTATGATGTGAACGGTTTAGAGCATTCATAGACGTATGATGACAACGTGAAATGTCACAAAATGTAAAGGTCTCAAAAACAATTTGTAAACTTCTTATGATATTAGATATACAGGTATCACAAACCCCAGCCATTCCACTCCTAGACATTTCCCTACAGCGAGTGAATGCCCATATCTGTGCAAACACTTGAACAGCAATGTTTGTATTAGCTATGAGCTAGAAAAATATCTATTAACAGAAAAATAATGAATGAATAAATAGTGAAAGTTTATATAATGGACCCTACTTGTTAGTAAAAGGGAATGTCCTGATGAGGCAGGACGAGGGAGTAGTGGATGCAGGTGAATGGGGAGGGGACAATGGTAGATGGGGAGTAAACGGGGCTGAATGGGGGGTTGGGGTTGATGGAGGAACCGATGGGAAAGTGGATTAGAGGAGTGTGTGGAAGTGAACAGAAGGGGGCCTAGCAACAGTGGTTGGATGGGAAGTTGGTAGAGTGTAGGTAAAGATGTACAGTAAGCTGTGGGTGCAGATAAGATGGGTGAGAAGTGATCATGGGGAAAATGGGGTCAGATAGCAGTTGGAAGGGGTAGGTGGAGAAGTGTGAGCATGGATATGGTAATGCATAGGGCTGGATGGAGGTGGATGAGGGTATATAAGGGACCAGATGGGAAATAGTTGCTTCTGGGTAGTGAATGAATGGGGTGAGTGGAAGTCGGGTGGATGGTGGATAGCAATGATCGGTGATAGGTATGAATGGAGGCATACAGGAAATGAAGATAGATAAGATGTGGATTATGGGCAGTTCAGGTGGATAAGGATGGATGGGCTACATGGTTGGGGAGCTGGACAGAGTATAGATGGGGTTTTAAAAGGGTGGATGCAGGGGCGTGGTGGGTGGATGTGGGTTTGATGAGGCACAGTTCTATGGGGCAAATAGGATATTATGTTGTATATATGGCAAATAAACAATGGAGCAGGGTGTGGAAGAGAGTATAGATGGTGGGTGAAAGGGTATTGAGGGATAAGCAAGACAGTTGGAGGGGTGAATAATGATGCATAGTGAAAGAAAACACGTGTGTGCGTGCATGCGTGTGTGTGTGTGTGTGTGTGTGTGTGTGTGTTGTGGGTCAGAGTCGGGATGTGTGGAGGGCCAGTATATGGAGTGGGTGGAAGCAAAGTGCATGACAGGTAACCAGTATTGGAGATGTGCAGTGGGGTTGTGCAGGGGGGTATTGATGAGTGTGATGGAGAGTATGGAGGGGTGTGAGCTGGAGGACAGGGCATGGGGAAGGGGCTGGTGTTAGTTCCATGGTGGAGCAGTATAAGCATAGGGGTTATGGAGGGGCAGTGCATGAGGTAGGTGGAGGAAGTGGCGGCTGGGAGGTTAGAGGGATTGTGGATAAGGGATACGGACAGAGGTGAAAGGGGTTTGTGAAGGAGAGTGATGGGATATGAAGTCAGTGGAAGGGAATGGTCAGGGAGAGTAGGGAAGGCAGTGGATAGCAGTTTGATGGCTGGGGTTGTTTGTTGGCGGGAGCAATAGGGTATGGAAGTGGTGTGGGAGGGAGTGTAAGATGTATCAGAAAGTGGTAGGTAGAAAATAGGTGGAAGGTGAAGGGGGCTTTGGAGTAGAAGGGAACTCGGTTGTCAAGGGTGACTGACAGGAAGGTGATAGGAAGGGTGTGGGTGGGAGATGGTGACAGTGTGTGGTGTGGATGTGTGTGGTTGAGGAGGTAAGGTGGAAAAGGGGGCTGGGTGGTGGTGGTGCACGCCTTTAATCCCAGCACTCAGGAGGCAGAGGCAGGCAGATGTCTGTGACTTCGAGGCTAGACTGGTCTTACAAGAGCTAGTTCCAGGACAAGCTACAGAGAAATGGTGTCCCAAAAAGAGGGGGGGTAGTGGATGTGTGGTGGGGGGTTGTAGGGGTGTGAAGGAAATGTTGTGTAAGGAAATGTCACGGAAGGTGGTATAGAAAAAGTAGCAGGGGTATATAGAGAGAATGTGGATGGGAATGTGTGAGGAGGGAGGAGGAGGAGGGACACACACAAAGAGGAGGAGCTGTAGTAATGGAAGATAGAGGGAAGGAGGCTGTGAATGGATAGAGGAGATACAAAGGTGGGAAAGAGAGGGAAAGGGAGGAAGAGGGAAGGTAGGGGGAAGGGAAGAAGGGAGGGACAGGAAGGGAAAAGAAGATGGGAAAATAGAGGGATGATAAATGGAGGGGAGAAATATGGGGAGGAGCCAGGGATGGATGGAGAACTGGGAGGAGAGGTAAAGGAAGGAAAAGGCAGAGAGAAAAGAAAGGTAGAAGAGGAGAAGAGGGAAAAGAAAGAGAGGAAGGAAGGAAGGAAGGAAGGAAGGAAGGAAGGAAGGAAGGAAGGAAGGAAGGAAGGAAGGAAGGAAGGAAAGAAAGAAGGAAACAATCATTGGAAGTCATGGTAGGCAGACCATGAGGAACTCCCACAGACCACACCTCTGCATAGGCACACCCCGCTGAGCACAAGAACAACCTGTGACTTTTACAAAGATAGGGAATAGCTCCCCTAACCATACAATATAGCAAAGGGAAGAGGATTCCTCAGAGTTCAGTGGTATTGAGTTAACCAACGGGGGAATTTAGTCATGTAAACTCCTTAAACATCCACTATCAAAGCAAATATATGAAAGCATAATTCTAGGAGAATTTGTACAACTGAAATATAAATAATCACATAATAAAACTTCATTACAAAGGGGGCATCTGTACTTAAATGAGTAAATTGTATTGTATCGCATTGTATTGTATCGATTGCAATGTACTGTATTGTACTGAACCTCAGCACTAGATTTTTAACTTGACACGGTAGGATTATGTTATTGAATTCGAAGCCAGTAGGTTCCAATGCTAAATACAGATCCAGTGAAGGATTGGGAGGTGAGAGGAGCCTCCAAAAATGAATTGCATACTAGACTCTGTGGTAGGTAGTTTCTTCATGATACTTGTCATTAGGAAGGGAGAAGGTATTGTTCAAACCTCACCCACTCCTTTGGCTTAGTGCCTAGCCTGGGTTTTAACTGGATAATCGTGAGGTTTCTGTGTTTATCTGCACTTTGGAATATTTTGCTCTTAAATGATAGACATTTTCCAGACTGAAGGGGCACAGACTCCTGCTTAGGTGCAGTCCTCAGCTTTCACCTTCTTTAGCTGATGCTGGAAGAATAAAATAATAAAAACACGCCTAGCCCGATCCTAATTACAGAAAGCTCCTAACAGAAACCATATGTTAAGTTTTTTGTTTTTTTTTTTAAAAAAAAAAAAAAGAATCCACTCTCACTGCACCTATTCTAAGCAGAACATGTACACGGGGTGGTAACGTTCCTACCCTTATGAAACTACAACAAAATGCTGTTGTGTAGTCTGAATCAGGTACCTGGCACCTGTTCATATTCCATATAAGAAATAAAATACCCACAACTCAAGACTGAGAAATAACCTGGGAATTTTCTTGTCTCTCTCTCTCTGTGTGCCCAGGGCCTCCTGGTCTACGAACCTGAATGCAGCAGTTGTCTTTCTGGGAATCGCATGCATCCAGCACTCCGGGGCTGGGGCCGTAGTGGTCCTGCTTCCTTCTCTGTCTGTGTTCATGGCCCTGGTATCTCTGTACATGACGCACTGTGACCTGATCCATCAACCAGCGAAACGTAAGTCACACCTTAGGTTTGGTGGCAAGAGGGTCGGTTTCTTACCTCCTCCTTAAACTGACTATGACGTCTTTGAACTCACAGAACTGCAGGTTTCCACAGACAGAGGATGTCCCATGTCTCTGCCTTTACCCCCGCCCCCATCATCCCCTTGCGAAACCAGCTCCTGTGCTGACATTCACGGCTTCTCTGTCCTGCTCTGGCATTCACACACCATAATTGTTCTAGAATCTCATTCATCTATGTCACGACAAACATTTACATGCATAATACACATGCACAACATACATACACAATACACATTACACACTGTGTGAATGCTTATGTTAAATACTTTAAAAAAGAGAAAAAAACCTATTCTCGGTGTGATCATTGTCCACCAGGTGATGGTAGAGACAAAGTGAATTGCTTCATTTTAGTTTAAATTTGTTTATTTTTGCTTTGTTTTTTGTGACAAGATCTCATTATGTATAGCAGTTTGGCCTTGAACTCTCCATGAATTTCCACACTGGTTTTAAAGTCAGGATCTTCATGCATCCACCTCCTGAGATCTGGAACTACAGGCATGTGTCACTATGCCTGAATCCTAAATTAATTTATTTTAAAATATCTTTAAGTATATATATAATTTCATATTTTGAAATACATGTAATTTTTCAAGTTATATGTGTATACTTAATTTTTTAATGGCAGCTTGTAAGTGCAATTGCCCTAAGAGACCAGAAGAGGGCATCCGATATCTGGTCGCCTTGGAGCTAGAGTTACAGGCAGTTGTAAACCACTTTATGGAGGCTGGGGACTGAACTCTGAGTCTCTACAAAAGCAGCAAGTGCTCTTATTCACTAAACCATCCCTCAGATTCTAAATTTACTTTTAATAAATACCTAAAAACATAAAGCAAGCATGTTGTTGAGCTATCATGTGATGTTTTAATATAGATACATATATATTGTCTGAAACGTTTAAATTAGGCTAAACACGTATCATTTCATTATGGTAAAACACTCAAAATATTTTTCTAGCTTTTTTAAATTTTAAATACAGGGACTTTGACTGGACTAGTGGTCCATACTTGCAATTTTGTCATTTGGAAGGTGTAAGCAGAATCAAGGGTTTGAGGCCAGGCTCACCTCGACCACATAAGCACGTCTGAGGCCAGACTGAGGTACATGAAACCTTGTCACAACAACAGCAACAAAAATAAATAAATAAATAAAACACACAGAATACTGCTGTTATCTATAGTCACCCTGCTTTACGACTGCACACCAGAACTTCCAGACTGTATCTGACTATAAGGCAGCACCCACGGACCAGTTTTCCCGCCTTCCCTCTATTAATCAGATTCTCAAAAGGTCTGTGATATTAACTTCAATTAATTAGATCAGTCCCACGGAGATGTTGGGACTGATCTAATGGGAGCTCACCAAGGCCAGCTAAACTGGGCCTGAACAAGCATGAGATCAATCTGGACTCTCTGTGGCTGACAATGGGGGCTGACTGAGAAGCCAATGATAATAACACTGGATTTTGATTCTACTGCATGTACCTACTTTTTGGGAGCCTAGTCTGTTTGGGTGCACGCCTTCCTAGACCTGGATGGAGGGGGGGCTTTGACTTCCCACAGGTCAGGGCACCCTGACTTCTCATACGACTGGAGAGCGAGGGGGAGGAGGAGGGAGGGAGTGGGAGGGAAATGGGAGGATGGGAGGAGGTGGAAATTTTTAATAAATAAATAAATAAAAGAAGTATAATTAATGTCTTTGTAGGCACAGGCTGCTTGTCTCTTTCCAAGCTGCTCAGATTCAAGATAATCACATAGAAATTATATTAATTGCAATATTGTTTGCTTAATCACTTAGGCATAATTATAGCTGGCCCTTACATCTTAAATTAACCCACTTCTATTATTTTATACTTTACCACAAGGTTTGTGGTTTACTGGTATCAGCACATGGGCCTCTTTCTCCTCTGGCAGATACATGGCATCTCTTTGACTCCACCTACTCTCACCTCCTCTATCTGCTTGGAATTCCCGCCTTGCCCTATTCTGCACTGTAATAGACCCAAAGCAGCTTCTTAATTAACAGAAGGGAATCCCACATCACCTCCCCTTTTCTGCCTAAATAAGAAGGCAAGTTTTAACTTTAACATAGCAAGATTACATACAACAAAACAGTTATCAGGCAAAAATTATAGTTACAATATTTATATCTACTTTATCTTTTATCATAACTAAGGAAAACTATAGTTATAACTTTCAAATCCATCAAAGACCCCAGTAGGATATAATATTACCTAAATTAACAGAGAACTTCCAAAACTCTAGAATTGACAGAAATATCTCACTATGTGGACAGTTACCCAAAGTTCTTCTGTACTGTTGGGGCATCCATCTTTAGCCCCTAGGCCCATAGTATCTGGCAGACATTTCCGTGAAGAAAGAAATTTCAAAGACAGTTCCAATTAAATTGGCAGTTTGTCAGTTACTTTCTTCAGTGTCCTGCCGAATGTCTGGCAGACTCTTTCATGAAACAGGAACTCTGAAAGACTGTTTCACCTTCTTTAGGCAACTTCAGCAGTCAGATTTCTGTGGGTTTTACATGTCCGGTTTATATAGCATAACATCAAGCAGTCCAGGCAAGAGCAATTTCTTGCCCAAATGGCTAACCAATTCCATAAGGAGCCTCTTTAATGCCCATCATCCTCTTAAAGTTGATTGGTGCTGCCCAGAACAAATGTGTCTCACTGTCATAAAAAGTCCTAAGATTTTTTAAAAATTAAATGCCATATTCTGTTAGTCTTTGAAAGGTTTGAAGAATAACTATCCATCTGGAATATATCTCTGTACAGCTAGAAAACCTAACTAACATGAGTACAAGCTTGACTATCTTTTCATCTGTATTTTTAATTATACATTATATTTTTAATACCTTAATCAAAAGTAAAAAATTTATGCATAACAAAACTGACCTTAAACCAATATCAATATCAATAAACCAAGATTCATACCAACACAAAGTATTCATCTCTATATTATATCCCCCTTTAAATGTAAATTTAAACATTCATAAACAATATTTGGGAATTTGGGCATAGTTATCTCTAAACTTCTTTCTGTTTTTTATTGGGCAAAGTAATTTTAGATGTTCACAGCAACCTTTCAGGGGATCTTAGTCCATCAAACCACATTAGTCTGGAAGGGATACACAGGTTCTTATCCTTTGTGGAAAGAAAAGCAGAACCTTTTTTACAAAGCAACATATCCTTAGATTCAAATTTTGAAGTCAAGATACTTTTAAAATATATATGTTGGGCTGTAGCCCCCATAATAAATGTCTCTCTGTAGTGAAAAATTCAAAGAAAACACAATAATAAACATAATCTAGACTCTCTGTGTATATTCCATCTTTTCGTGGCTTATTTTTCTTTACTCCTTTAACCTATGACTGTTTGTACTCTTTAATATTATAACTATCTATATTTTTCTCTCTCTCCCAAGCCTAATTACATTTATCCAACACCGTGACCCATTTACAGGTCTTTTTTAAAAATCTGAATCTGTCTTTTTTTGCCTATCTGTAATCCTTTTCTGACCAGGACTGCTTCTTAAAAATACTAAGCAGCATGGCTAGGACTAAGTCTGCTTTGCCTTTTAGCTTCACCCAATCCAAATTGGTAGAGACCCGTTCAGTGCCAGCTCTGGGAGTCATGCTCACAGCCCCATTTCCAGGCACACAACAGGTCTATGTTGCCATTAAGCAAGTTGTAGCACTCTGCTCACAAACCCCATTTAAATGTTCCATAGCCAGACCTCCTGAAAGCGTAGGAGCTCTGGCTGCACTGATGAACCAGGAAGTTGTCTCCTAAATAAGTCATGTAGCCTTCCTTGCCACTGCTGAGTCAGGAAGATCTCTTTTAAAGGAGCCATGCAAACAGCCCATTCAGGAAAAAATAAAATAGCTGCACTTGGCTCCCATTTTTGTGGTTCTAAATGCCCTCTTCTTTTTTAAAGCTTTATGTGGATGTACATTGCCAACAACAAAATGAGTGTCATTTTGTAGGCAAAGACTCCTTGTTCATTTCCCAGCTGCCCAGACCCAAAATAATCACACAGAAGCTATATTAATTACAACACTGCTTGGCCAATAGCTTAGGCACATTCCTGGCTAACTCTTATTTCTTAAGTTAACCAATTTTTATTAATCTGTGTATTGCCATGTGGTTGTGGCCTACCGGTAAAGTTTCGTCCAGTGTCTGTCTCTTCCAGTGACTACACAGCATCTCCCTGATTTCACCTACTTTCTCTGCTGTCTCTGCTTGGAATCCCTGCCTTGTTGCATTCTGCCCTGATGGTAGGCCAAAGAATCTTCTTTACTAACCAATGGTAATAAGACATATTCACAGCATACAGAGGGAAACCTAACATCATATCTTGACTTTTATAGTCACGGTATCTACTGACTTCTCTTATGTTCCCCCATTAAAGGGGAAAATTAGGTCTGTACTATATTCAGAAGGTCCTTCAGGCCTTGCAAAGCAGATTTCCATACTACTTTTTCTTCTCAAAATACTGAGTTTCTGTATTCACTGCCCACTGCTTTCCCCCATCACTTCTCAAAGATGGCAGTAACCGGCTTACTACTTCCGGTTTCATTCCTGGGTTTTAATTTACTTTCTAATGTTCTTATGTGATTTCATAAGTTTAATGTAAGCCTATGTTTATTATTTTTTATTTTGTAGCCTCTGGTTTTGGCATCATATTAATATACAGTATTTGTCTGTTTATGAATAATTCCTTCTCAGCAGATCCCCTCAAGTGTCACACATGTGGAAGCACGAAAGCATTTTCTTCATTTCAAGACTGCATAATACTCCAGAGTACCTAACATATCATCTAACATGTCATCTGCACAATACTCCAGTGTACCTAACTTATCATCTAACATGTCATCTGCACACTTCTCCAGAGTACCTAACATATCATCTAACATGTCATC